GCCTGTCTGCCCTCCACAATGATGAGTAGCTAGAAGTCTTTAAGTGCCTTGCGTGCCTTTTAAGACTGGTACGGTTTCAGGATGAGATAGAGTTCCACAGGGATCAAAAATAAATGGGACACATTGCCAGGGGGAGTAAAGTGGAAGAGATTACCAGGTCTGGTTTCAGGGTACAAAAAAATGGACACAAATGCACATTTTCATATACACACACACACACACACTTTTAATTGGAATATCATGTTCCCTGGATATATCCCAAGCCCACAGTCTCTCTGTTTCACCCAAAGACAATGACATCCAGTAAATGCTGAAGCACATGTCTTTTTTGCGTTCATATGACAGAGGTAAAGACATATGCCTGGTATCTGACTCCTTAGTAATTTAGCATGGGACTATAAAAAGATCCAAGATGAAGGAATGCAATTTGGAGAGCAGATTGGTGAGGACTTCTGGTGTCTCCGAGTACTCTTCAACACTGTCTCTTACAGTTCACATAGAGCCACTTTTTTTAAACTTTTCTGTGAGTTAAATAAATGTCACCAATGGTCTGTAGTTTGGGAGAAAGCTGAATGTATAAAATATTGCAAAGACTAAGACTGTCACAAAGATGTAGATGCAGGTTAAGAGATGTAGACAAGTTAATGGTGGACTTCTAAGCTTTGTTACAGTGGTAAAATTTATATTATAAATTATGATGTCAAGGATGTTAGTTCCAAGCTACAGACCCGAAAGCAAGATTGGGCAACCAGGACATCTGAGCCTAATCCTAATATATTATGGACGATTTACTGTATGCTATTGGCCTTTAATCTTAACCGATGCACCTTTATCACTCATTTATGAGCCTTTGTACTTCATTAAGTCAGAGTGACTCATAGGTTCCCACAGTGCAGCTGTGAGCGAACAGCACAGGCCATCGGGGACAACTTCAGGGGCGGGGCTTCCTGCAGGATGATGATGTCAGTGCACGTGACATCAGCCAGGCCTCAGGCTGAAGAAAGACTATGGGTGCTGGGTCCTTAGGCCAGCCATTTCACATACAAAAACAGAATGCACTGACTCTTGAGGTCAGATTGTTCACACTATAAATTTGACATTTATTCTTTACTACTCGGTGGCACTTTTTTTTCTTCATTGACTGCTACTATTTGTGTCATTGGATGCAAGGTGTGTCATGTATTAATGCGGATGATGTGTCCGCATCTCTGCCTCCTTCTAGCTTGATGTGTTCAAGCACATTCCACCTCTTGTCTGCGGTTTATCTTTATCAGCTGCTGCACCTGTGATGTTTATTCTCAGTACAACCCCCCCCCAACTTTTACTAGGAGCTGTGCCTGTTTGTGGATCATGCCATAAACTAGCATTTCCAAAAAAGTACACTGTGTTTGTTTAATCAGTAAGATGATTCTGTGAACAGCCTCACTCTGTGTCAGCCTCATTTCCCCCTATCTGGTTTCTGTTTTGAGTATGTAAAACTGTGATGATGATCACTTTTACAGTCTCTGTGAGATGTAAATAAAATTTTTGTTATGGCCTGTATAGACAGGATGGGTGTTTTTGAATATTAATAATCTGTATATTGCATTTGTGGTTATGTGAGCCTTCACTGTGGCTTGTTTTGCCACTGATTCATGAATGTTTCTGTATGTGGGAAGAGAGACCTGTACTTTATTTTCTTATATCGGTCCTGACAATGTAGAACTGTATTACGTGTGTGGCCCATGAGGATGTTTAATAAATGTCCTGGTCATTTTAATACACTTCAGTCTTGTGTGGTATTTTTTGTCGCTCATTTCCTGGTTACTGAGTCATATGAACACGGTCTGCGATCTACCATCTGCTGTTAAGGGTATAAATTACCTTTAATGTCTGTTAAAATCCTTCCTTTCTCTTCTTTTCTGTCACATCTAATTGTGTGTGTGTGTGTGTGTGTGTGTGTGTGTGTGTGTTCGTGTGTGTTCATTTATCTTTGTGATGCCAGTGATTGTTGATTGTTTTAGATGTGTAAAGGCTATATGTTCGGTAAGGGTTGTCCTTTTTATTGCCAAACACAAAACCACTTTTCTTCTCACCATATCTCAGGTGTAGTGTCAGTCAGTTTCGAAGAGGATGAAGAAGGGAACCTGTGCCTCATTGCCTACCCCCTCCACAGCGAATTAGGAGACCTGGAAAACAAAGATCCCTTGGCAGACTGTGAGCCCAAGACCAAGATGCTGAAATGGAGCAACAAAATCCAGTCCACTTTGCTTCTGGAGAATGACAACTGCAGCAAAGACAGAGCCCGACACAGCCGTAAAGAAGACAAGCTCATGAGGTGAGGATGCTTGCCTTTGCATCTTAATGCTTTCACAACCAATAACACACTTTGATGAATAAGTTCTGTGACACTAAAGCTGATGTTTTTCTGTGTTGTCTACTTTGCAGTTATAATCGTGATGAGGTGCAGCAGCAGGCAGAGGTTCTCTACTTCAGCCTGGAGAAAGACAACGTGGTGCCACAGATCAAACACAACCCCTGGAGTCTCAAATGTCACCAACAGCATTTGCAGAGGATGAAAGAGAATGCAAAGCACCGTAACCAATACAGTATCCTGTCATGAATGAAACACACTTATCGGGTGTTTCTGTGTGTAGTGAAGTGCACAGTAATACAGGGACTGGACATGGTTATTAACAAAAGCATAAATACACTGTTAGTTTATAGGTCTTCAGTTATTGTTGTGATCCTTGACCCTTTTTCACAGAGTTTATTCTTTTGGAGAACCTGACATGGCGCTATATAGTACCCTGTGTGTTAGACTTGAAGATGGGAACTCGCCAACATGGGGATGATGCATCAGAGGAAAAAAAAGCCAATCAGATTCGCAAGTGTCAACAGAGCACATCAGCCTCTATTGGAGTGCGGCTTTGTGGCATGCAGGTGCAGTATAGATGCAATTCTGTACACTGACCTTCTTTTTGTAGTGGTTGTGTACACTATCTATGAACTGTAGCGCTCATGTTTCTTTGCAACCCCTGCAGGTGTACCAGTCAGACTCAGGCCAGCTGATGTTTATGAATAAGTACCACGGCCGTAAGCTAAACCTTGCAGGCTTCAAGGAGGCTCTCTACCAGTTCTTCCACAATGGGCGTCGCCTGCGTCATGAACTGCTCTCCCCAGTGCTGCGCAGACTCAGGGAGATGCAAGCTGCCCTGGAGGCCTGCGAATCTTATCGCTTCTATTCCAGCTCTCTGCTCATCATCTATGATGGAGACCCTCCCAGGACTCCCACTAGACCTAGACATCGTGGTGGGGAAGAGGGTGACGAGGATGAGCCATCAGATGAAGAGGAGGAAGAGGAAGGGGCCTTTGGTTTCCCTCGTTCTTCCTCAGCGGGTGGCAGCTCTAGTGTGGCTGGTGGGAGTGGCAACAGCGGCAGCAGTCGCACATCTCACAGCTCAGTAGAGGCCAGCAGTCCCATGGTGGACGTGCGCATGATTGACTTTGCTCACACCACCTGTCGACACTATGGAGAAGACAGTGTAGTGCATGAAGGCCAGGACAGTGGTTTCATCTTTGGCCTTCAGAACCTGATCATGATAATCTCCCAGCTGGAGGATAACAGCACTGACTGAAGTTGCACTGGAGCCAGCATGGTCTGAATTTCAAGTATGGGAGGAGCTCATTGAGCTGAAACCCTGCTACTCCAAGGTGCATTGTTTTTACGCCTACATGGAGGTCTGACCGTCCTCTGCTTGGAGGGAACCTCGGGGTCAGGGAAAAGACTGTGTAGTCGTCGTACACTCTCCCTTACCTGCCAGAGGACAGGGCTGCCTGTGCCCTTATTGCACTTTCCTCTTTCTAAGACTGCTACTTTTCTTAGTTATAAATGGTAGTAAGAATGTTGTTGTATGAGACGAAGACCAGTCAACAAACACAGGGACTGCTGTAGCATCCTAGGACTCTCCATCCGCTCTCCTCCTCTAGTGCAGACATGTTACTTTTAGTTCTCTCTGAGAGAGAAAGAGAGACTGTAGTTCTAGGAGCCTGACGTGGTGCTTTACCTGTGTTGATATGAGCTTTTGTGGATGAAGTTTGGACTGCCAGTCCCAAACAGCACAGCACATTATTAGGAGTTGACTGTACAAGCTGACCTCGGCTGGCTAGGTCAGCAGCCTCGTAGAAACTGACAGCTTAAGGTTCTGAAGAGGAAAATGTTTTTTGTGTCTTTTATGACCCTTTTGACACATATTGTTTGTATGTCCACTAGATGCTTGGATTTACACTTTTAGGTGGAAGAACACAATTATTTAGGTTAGGAAGAAGGGACAGTACTTTCTTGCCTATAAACAAGACTTTTTAAAGGGGGGATAATATCCTTGTTTTGTCACTGTCTTTGTTTTCATCTGATTTTCTCCTCTTCATTCCTGAAACTTTGACTAAGCAGAGAATATATTGATTAAAAATAGCTATAACGACTATATAGAGACTATTTATTTGAAGGGATTGTTTAAAAATATTTTAAAAATGGAAACAAGTACATTCCATATTACCACTCTAAACGTTTGGATACCAACTGATTTATTTTGTTATTGCAAGGGCCGATGCCTCTCTTGTTTACCTGTGTGTTAACAGTGTCTTAGAAAATAAAGGCAGTCATTTGTGGTAAAAACAATAGCCTGTGTTCAGTTACTGTGTGTGTGTGTGTGTGTGTGTGAATCATAATGCATTTACTGGACAGGAAGTTATGAAGTGAGAAAGGGAAATGAAAGATCTGTGAATGCAGCTATCGAGTACTGCAGTAACAAAAGGATGTAATGCTGTGGAAAAAATGATTCAGTCTTATTACTGATACTTAATGGTGCATTAATTAAGATTTACACATTGTTTGATCAAGTGAAACTGGGAGAGGTTGTGGTTTAGATTGGCATGCCATGCTTCACCTGGCAGAATGATGGGGATGGGAAAATCTTGTCGGGCTTGTTTTTAGATCAGAGGAGAAAGTTGTTTTGGGGTTTTTTTTCTGCAGTGAGATAAATTCTGAACAGTTTTATTGCAGATCAGTTTAGTCACTGAATGCTGTAACACTAAAATGAAGAGAAACTATTGTGTGGGTTGGCTGATAAATTCACATTTCTCAGCCAGTGTAAGTTTGATGAATGTGACCTTGACTCTTATGACAGTCGCATCTGATGGCTGTGGCTGAATGCGTCACAAAAATCAGAAATATACAACCACTTGGCTCCGGGATGATGCTTGTATAACTGACACAGAGTTTCTGTGTGGTGCTTATGGTGTGATTATTAACCAAACCACCAAGACCTGTTTACTTCTTCTAACTGTAATTTACATAATTTAGACAAAATTGATCCTTAGGAAAAACAATACCAAGAGATGGATTTTCCTTTGTTTTCAAATGACTTTTCATTCACTATTAGATGGGGTTTTTTTTGTTTTTTGTTGTTTTTTTTAAACGTATTAAGAGGTTTAGTTGAAGTTCAGTTTCCATTCAGCGGTGACACTGGAGACTGATATGCACTGGGCCGGATTAATCGCTTCAAACAGGATTAATTTCCATTGGAGCTGTAGTGCTAAGCAGGACTGTATTAGAAGGTGTTAGCCACCAGACTAACACACCAGCAGCTCCATATCAGTAACCTTAAGTGACTCGTTCTTTGTTTAACACACTTTATGCACCATATCCTTCATGCTGAAAAAAAGAAAATAGTTGGCTGTTATTACTGGATTTCCAGTACTGGAAGACTGTCTAAACTAACAAGGTAAAGTCCACAGAAACACTGACTGTGTGGAAATTGTGCCCAGAAGGCTGTGTCACTTTTCAACACCTTGGCACACCTGCCTCAGTTTGAATAGAGTAATTGTCTAAAAGCTGGTTTTATTGCAAATACAGTATCACTTAGCTGCTTTCAACCTCTGACAATCTTGTGACGTGTGAAATGGGTGGAGTGGGTGAATAAACACTCAGAGGTGACTCGGGTCATAAAAGAATTCATCTTTATTGTTTCATAGTAGGAAACAGTTGGCAGGGGCGCCGCTAGCAGTTTTGGGCCCTATGAAAAAATTTGAGGTTGGGCACTCTACCCACAAACTGTGGGCCCCCAAAGTTCGTGGGCCCTTAGAATCGTCCTAACCTTCCCCCACCTAACGGCGCCTGTGACAGTTGGTAGTTAACAGCTTTTGATTCTAGGTTTTCCAGTTTTTGTGTTTGTCCATTTGAAATTAGATGACGGTAATTTGTCCACATTAGCATACTGGACACACCGGTCTGACTGATGATGGGGTAGGAAAGAACCCACAGTCCCTCAGGAGCATTATGCAGACATTGTGCTGCCACAACCACACCTCATCACCACACCCACAGACAGACTCAGAGCCCACACACTTTCCAAATAACCACTCCTATGGGCAATTTAGTCACAAATCAAGGTAAGCTGTATGTCTTTGAACTGACTATGGAAGGAAGTCGGAGTACCAGGAGGGAACCCTCGCAGGCACAGGGAGAACATGCAAACTCCACACAGAAAGGTACTGGGTCAGTCAGGGCTTGAACCCAGAACCTTCTTGTGGTGAGGTGACAGTGCTAACCACTGTTTCACCATGCCACCCTAATGTGCTACATTCAGATATAAAAACATTCATGCATATCCTGCGGAATAATAAAAAACGAAAACACCCAAGCTAATTCATGTAGTTGGGGTGGCTGAATTGATAAAAAAATCCATCCATCTCTCCATCTTCCTCCGGTTATCCGAAACTGGGTTGTGGGGGCAGCAGTCTAAGCAAAGATGCCCAGACTTCCCTCTCTCCAGACACTTCCTCCAGCTCCTCCAGGGGGAATG